TATTATTATTATTATTATTATTATTATTATTATTATTATTTAAGCCTTCATAATATTATTATTATTAAGCCTTCATATTATTATTATTAAGTCTTCATAAGGTGAAAATAAATGGTCACATTTGTTTTATGTAATTAATATACATCTTGTCTATTGGCATATGGTTCTTTGCATTACTTTCCCTTTCATGCTGCAAAGAGCATCACTGGCTACATTGCTAACTGCTATTCAAACCGCAGGACCAATGCCAAACACAGAACAAAGAAGAGACTTTTTGGGGGGCGGGGGGTCTCTCTCCTCCAATTCTAGGATGCCCTCGCCCTCCTTCCCTAGGAACAGACGCGTGTCTCCGCCAACCTCCTTCTCCTTCCTAGACCCCCGTGTCCGCACAGCTAATCCTCTGAGCAATCCGGGAGTCACACCGCATCAGTGGGTGGGCAGAGAGGAAGGGGAGCCTTCCCACATGCTCGCCTCCGCTAAACCCCAGCGTCTACCCCCCATCTCCATCCATGATGATGATGATGATTATGATGATGATGCTCATCATCATCGTGACTACTAGGTTCACACCTGGGTTCTTCCTCGTTTCATTGTCAGCCTCCAGTAGGAAACGGATGGCAAGGGAGGAGAGGAGGAAAGAGAAGAGATGGAGATGATGATGATGATGATCTTCCTCCTCCTCCTCCTCATCATCATCATCATCGTCATCCCCATCATCACTACTAGGTTCACACCTGGGTTCTCCCTCGTTTCATTGATGGCAAGGGAGGAGAGGAGGAAGGAGAAGAGATGATGATGATGATGATGATGATGATGATCCTCCTCCTCATCCTCATCCCCATCATCACTACTAGGTTCCTACTGGGTTTTTGAATCCCCTGATTCTTGCATATCTTTCTTTCCCTCTATTTTTATAATTTATTTTTAAAAATACAGGTTTCATTGTCAGCCTCCAGTAGGCAAAGGTTGGCAGGAGAGGAGAGGAGGAAGGAGATGATGATGATGATGATGATGATGATGATGATGATCTCCTCTTCACTACTAGGTGTCAGCCTGGGGAAGAACACCTGGGGAAGAACACCTGGGTTCTTCCTCATTTCGGTGTCAGCCTCCAGTAGGAAACGGATGGCAAGGGAGGAGAGGAGGAAGGAGAAGAGATGATGATGATGATGATGATGATGATCCTCCTCCTCATCCTCATCCCCATCATCACTACTAGGTTCATAGTGGGTTCTCCCTTGTTTCATTGTCAGCCTCCAGTAGGCGAAGGTTGGCAGGAGAGGAGGAAGGGGAAGAGATGATGATGATGATGATGATGATGGTCCACCCATCATGATTATGATTATCTCTACTAGGTTCACACCTGGGTTCTTCCTCGTTTCATCGGCAGCCTCCAGATCATTATCATCATGGGTGGAGATGGGAGGGAGAAGCTGTGGTTTCGGGGAGGAGAGCAAGTGGGAGGGATTCCCTTTCCCTTTGCACACCCACCGATGATGATGATGAAGATGAAGAAAATGAGTGGAAAGAAAGAATTTGGAAAGCAAGAGTGGAAAAGAAGTATGACGAGTGAAGAGAAGGAAAGGTGATGGGAGAAGGGATGGCAAGGAATATGGTGTACTTATGACATCATCATCATCATCATCATCATCATCCACCTTTCCCTCTTCCTCTCCGCAATTGCCAACCTCTCCCTCCGGAGGCTGCCTTCGAAATGAGAACGAACTCCGGAACGCGCCTTTTATACCCGGGTGACCCCGCCTCTAGTGGGCGGGGCCGAGGGGCGTGTCTGTGCACAGGAGGCGGGGCCTCTCCCTTTCCACGCCCCTCCCTCCCTCCCTCCCTGCCTTCTCTTCCCGGGCGCGAAGAAGCGAGCGAGAGAGGGGTGGAGACCGGGGCAGGTTTCCCCCTCCCACGGATCGGCTGAAGCCCCGCCCCTTTTCCTTTTAAGGAAAAAGGGGGCGGGGCGGGGCGGGGCGGCCGGTCTTTTTAAAATGGCTGTCCGGCTCCGGAGCGTGGGGCAGTTCGTGGAGGCGCTGCTCCGAAAGAGAGGCTGGGTGGCTTCAATGCCAGGGCTGGGAAGGGGGCTCCGCCATGCTGGAGAATGGCTCCCTGAGGAACTGCTGCGGGCTGTCCCCGAGAGGAGGGGGCTTCGGCGGGGGAGAGGAGGCGGCGTTGGCGGCGGCCGTGGAGGCAGCAGCAGCAGCGGCGGAGGAGGAGGCGGCGGCGGCGGCGGCGGAGTCCGGGGCAGACCCTCGTCCCGGCTGGGTGGTCACGGCCCTCTCCAGCGTCCTCATCTTCACCACGGTGGTGGACCTGGTGGGCAACCTCCTGGTCATCATCTCCGTCTTCAAGAACCGCAAGCTCAGGAATGCAGGTAAAGGTGGGCAGCTCCAGGAGGAGATGGAGATGGAGATGATGGAGGGATCCAGGACTTCCAGGGGCCACTTGGGAGGAAAAGTTGCGGAAAGTGCTGGATGGGTTTTTGTGGTCCCCTTTGGGGGGGTTTCACACTTCCCCTAGAGC